CAACGCCTAGGAATCTGGGTAAAAACATGGATGCAGACCCACTTCTGTTCATTTCGGTGTTGTGTGGAGAGTGCAGGCTCAGGATTGGATTCCATTCACCTCCTTTTTCTAAGAGGGTAAGGGGGATGAAATGGGATCTCATGCGTTGTTCCCCGAGGCACCACTTTCAAGCACAATGTTTCTGGCAAGGAATCAGGGGTAATACGTGCAAATGTCCTTAAAGGCCCATCCATGTTGCAGTCACAGCGGTGATCTCCTGTCCAGTTAGAGGCATGGTCCCTGGGTACAAGGAAGAGGGCTCAATTTGTGTCCACTCAGCAGTTTTCTGCCATCGCAGTTGTGTTGGCACATACACACGCCATTGCCTGGGTTGTGTCAGTTAACCCTGGGAAAATCTAGGCAGCTCACTCCTGGGGCATTAGCAGTGGGTAGAGCACCTGGAAACATGTACACAGAGCGGCAGCCTGTGGGGCAATGCACTCTGGGACGTTCTACCACACAGGCAGCTGGGAGGCAGGAGAACTGGCCAAACCAGTTACACACACACAGAGTCAGGGTGTCCTCTCCACACAGCAAAACACTAGTGTGCCGAACCAGCTGCTGGAAGACAACAATGTACCAGCCTAGGCCCCTGGCGGGGGCGAAGCATTCTTAGCTGTCACAGCTACTAACAGAGTATTAGCCATGTGCAGTGAAGATGTCAGTCACGTTTCGAGCCCTCCCTGCCAGTTGCATTACAAACTGGGTTACAAATTGTGACATTGTCAGAGCTTAAGTTCACACACACTTAAGCTCTCTCTCTCTCTGATAAGGTTGCTATATTCTCCTCTTACAGCTGGTGTACAAACATTTACTGCACTGGAACATTATGTTTTAACAAACAGGATTGTCATCTGATCGTGCTGTAACGTGGTTCAGTTTTACCTGCGTGAAATGGACTAAACTCTGTTCTAACCATATAAAGACTACATTCTAACCTCAGTTACTTCAAAGTAAAACCAGAGAGAGATCACTGATGCCAAAGGAGTTACTGTGAATATGCTCTGGAGTAAATGCGATTAGAATCTGGCCTGAGGGATGTAATATGGTTAGAACATGATTTGGTCCTGGTCACACATGCGTGACAAAACCATATTCTAATACAGATGGGGAACTATTGTGTTTTGGCGTCTCAATGTGGTGGATTTGGATGTATAACTAGACTGTAGGTAGTCTAGAGCATGGTTTTAACATAGTTTTCAAGGAGGGGCCTTGTTTGCAATGGGTAGGGACAGGGGTGCTGAAACAATTTGTATAGTGGGGGTGCTGAGAGCCATTGAACCAAACTGTAAACCCTGGATATGATGAAAACAACTTCAAGCCAGACAGTGCAGCAGCACCCCCAGCACCTTTAGTTCCAGCACCTAAGGGTAGGCAAATGACAGTAGGGAGTCATCTCTACATTACAAATACAACCATGGATCAGAAGACTCCATTATAACACTATTGTCTCAGTGCTGTATTTGGCTTTGGAGCATAGCAGGGAACTGTGTCTTACCTGTATCTCTAAAGTGTACTGAAGCTGTTCTCATCTATGTCTAGGCATCACAGGGTCCACTCACCACACATGGTGACTCCTCCTGGAAGCTCTGGGGATTAGCTCTTGCCAGGCACCACAGCCCTCTGGTAATGTCTCTACCCCTCATCTTTCACTCTGCAGTCCCTCTCACTCATGGAGCTGCAGCTTCCTGTTTGTGGCTTGGCCCTCCAGGTCACTAAGGTCCTTCCCTTCCAGGGAAATCAAAGTCCTTCCAGACTAGCTGTTTGGCTAGCATCTCCAATACCCTGTGCTACTTCCCAGTGGCTGGTAGGGGACCCAGGCCCACTCTCTACACTGGGTTTCAGACCAGGGACCTTATAATAAGCTACTACGGTCTGTACATTCCTACCTCTTGCTACTGTTAGTCTGGGTCTCTTCCTACTTATCTAGCTTCCCTTCCCTGTGGGTTTGTCAGCGCCCTCATCCCCGGAACTGACTGTAGTCTACTTCCTTACAGCCCCTTGGTATTCATAGCTCCTAGCTCTGTACAGACTGTCCTGTTCCTGCCTAGCTGAGGCCATTTCCAATTAATGGCCTGCTCCCTTTCTCCTTCTTCAGGTGCAGCCTGGGCAGTTAACTGGCCTGCTTAGTTACTTCAGCACCTCCACCTTATCGCACCAGGGTTCTGGCATGGCTCAGGGAGATGAACAGAACACTATTAGGTCCCAAATACATTTAAAGACTGTCTAGCATTTTAACTATGTTGGGGACGGTGTCCTCTTTCTCCATCATATTTAACTGTGTTAGCACTCATTAGGCTTCTCCTAAAAACAAATGTCTGTGACCAGCATTTTGGTTAGGGTGGTTTCAGCACTAACTAGGTTGGTGTCTTGTCAAATTAGTACCTCCATTTTCATTCAGGCAGTGTTTTGGATATTTACACATGCTGTTTTTTTTTTTTTATGGTCCTATATTGGGATTCCTGAAATACTGATAACTACATTAAATTCTTTCATCCACAGGGATTTTAACTTCACTTTTGGTCACAGCAATATGTTTCTTCTTTCCTGCGCTATGCTGTTTCATTTTTTTTCTTTGTTTGGGGGCTTTTTAAACGAGTATTTGGGGTCTACTTTCCTGGTTTAGTCCACCTGACATTTTCTTTGAATTGATGTACAAAAACAGGGGCATGTTGTTATTATTGTTGTTTATTTTGTAGTAGCACCTAGAGCAGTGTTTTTCACCATGTGGTCAACAGACCCCTACAGGTCCACAGACTATGTCTAAGATTTCCAAAGGGGTTCACACCTCCATTTGAAATATTTTAGGGGTCTGCAAATGAAAAAAGGATGAAAAACACTGACCTAGAGGCTCCCAGTGAGTTAAAGCCCCTTTGTAGCAGGCACTATATAAACAGTCCCTTCCCCAAAGCATGCACAATCTAAATAGACAAGACAGACAAAAGAAGTATTTTTACCCCCATTTTATAAATGGGGAACTGGGTTAAGCGATTTTCCCAACGTCACACAGGAAGTCTGTGACAGAGCTGGAAATGGACCCCAGATCTTCTGCATCCCAATCCAGTACTGTAACCAACACACTATCTTCCTCTTAGGAGGAGCATGTCACAGGATGTCAGAGTTTAGGCTTCTACAGAAAGATGCAGAAATATTTCACTGACTCATACTGTAAAGCAGACCAGGTGGGGCTCATTATCTCTAATACTGGGTATAAAAGTGTGGGTCCTGGTCTGATGAGAAGATGGTATTAGAGACAAAGATATCTTGTAAGGAAGCTCTCTAGGAACAAGCCAAGACCAGGAAAACTTTGGCTGAGGTTTATATTTTGTTACTGAAGTTAAGCAATTAAAGCAAACCCCAGGAAGGGGGTAGATTTTGGACATTAATCCAGTCTGTGTGTGCTGAGTTGAGATAGCAGGAAAGGGACTCAGCCCATTCACAGGGTTACCAAGTCCTTTCTGGTATCTGACGCTATAACTTTATTGTAGCTTTATGTCAAGGGATTATGTTAACAAAGCACTATTTGATTACATGGACTTCTGTGCAAAGAAAGGTCTGATTTTAGGAGAAGGTTCATCCCATGCGGTGTGGGTACAAGTTAATCTTTTCAAGTGACATGATCATCGCTTGTAAGTATCAAAAATGGTAATGATCAACCATTACCTTCCAAAAACTCTTTCCCATTACTGTGGATGGGTTTCCGCTTTGCTTATACTCACAGCTGAGCTGTTTGGTTTTAAAGATCAGATTGGAAGCATCTGAGAAATTCCTTCCAAAAGGTAGGAGGCAAGTTCTCAATTTCACTGAGTGCCACTCTGGCTGGGAAGAATGCTGCAGCTTCTGGGAGTCCCAGAAGGAGCCAATTATAACCTGACTAACCTGCCTTAGCATTATACGGCCTGATGAAATTTGGTGTGCCCTCACAAGTTGGAGATTGTACTTCTACAGCTGGGTCTGGGTTGGGAACTCACTGTTCCATGGGGTTTGTTGTGGTTATTCAGATACAACGATCAACACAAGGGCTGTCCCGCTACCTCCTTCAAGCCAGAGAGTCCTCTCTAGCTCGTTATTATGATCTCCACCCTCTCTCTCCCTCCTGTCAGAGGAGACTGAAGCAGAAGGGGAGCAGTCCCTGCTCCAGTCAGTCAAAGAGGAGGGGGCAAGGAGTGCTCTCCCTCAATTTTTAATACAGGAAGGGGAACTGTATCCCCCTAAGCCCTGCTTATGGGACCCTTTGCTGCTGGCCTCTCTCTTACTGCCCTTCATGCTACTCTCCCTCCTCCATTACGTACTTGCCCACCTTCACCTGACCTTAGCCCCAGCTTGACCTTTAAGCCCTGTACAAACAAAGGTGCTAGCGAGGCCTGTGCCTGCCACAGCCCTGCTCACTCTGCTAAATGGCAGAACTGCAAGTTTGTATCTTTACAGACCCTCCTGGAGCATAAATAAAACAACAGAAAACATTCAATTAAACTGACTGCAACACACAGCACAAGCAGCTCCACTTATTGTCCCATGCAAGGAGAAACCTGCACAGTAATGATCCATAGTCAAAGGATGGCTTGACCCCAAAAAGAGCCTTGGCAATAAACCCAAGCTGGAACAGATGGTTGGCAGACAGGGTCCCACCATTAAAAACATCCTTAGTGGTGGACAGCTAGGGACCACTTATTGCCACAAAGAGGGGATATCTATGCCTCCAGCTACCACCCTCTTTAGAACCTTCTTGGGAGCTGTCTCTGACATCTAGTCTGAATCTCCTGTCTATATTCCTCTCTTCTCTTGAACTCCCTCATTCCTTTCTTTGCACTTCCTGCATCTTTCCCTCCCACCCTGTTTTTCTTCTGCCTGATACATACCACCTGCTTAATCAAAATGATCTGAGCATGCTCAGTATTTCTGCCTCCTGGTGGCAAGGGGTTTACAAAGTGCTGAGCTCTCTGTGCAGAGAAAGGAGGGAAGTCCTAAACATCAGGGAAATATCCCTCCTCCTGATCCAGGAACTGATGGTGTTGGCAGCAATTCACTGGAGGCTCTGGCAGGGTTTGGAACATGGAAAGTTTACTGTGGTTGGCAAAGACTCAGGTACATGTTGGGGCTAATTATGAATGTTGTTTGTATTGCATTTCCTCCTGAAGCTAACTTTTGCAATACATTAGTTAACAAGTTGGTCGTTGCCTGTAGCTCTTAAGCCTTTCGTTTTGCCTGTGGATGAAGTTGCAAACTTGTAATACAATGTACTATACATTTTGTATTGGGGGTAATGGCCAGATTCCAACTAGGAGGAATTACATTCTGTCTATCAACATTCCCCCCCTGCAGTTCTAGGTGGATTCTTCTCCAAATCAGGTCCTTAACTGTTGTGTAGTGGTAATACCTAACTTAATCCATTTGACTAGAATAGCTTGGTAAAAGATCTGTAGAGGATAATCCATCAAATGAATTTAGGCTGCATTTCTATTCTATTCTATTTTATTTATTTCTTGAATTGTCTACAAGCAGTCACTGTGTTTCTTATTCATGATTGTTTGATGACTATTTTATGTGAATCAATGTTAGGCTCTGTATTCTCCAGGAACTCTTTTCTTTAACTAATGACAGGTTTCAGAGGAACAGCCGTGTTAGTCTGTATTCGCAAAAAGAAAAGGAGTACTTGTGGCACCTTAGAGACTAATAAATAAATAAATAAATAAATTGGTTAGTCTCTAAGGTGCCACAAGTACTCCTTTTCTTTTCTTTAACTGTGTCTTTGAGTTATTCACAGTGTGCTTTTAGTCATTTACCTAACATAGTATTATTTCTGCTTCCTAAATGGATGACTAAAACTTTTATAAATAGGAGGAGGGAGATCTGAAAAGGCCTATGTGAACACCCCTAGGTGAACACATCCGCACAACCATCCATGAGAATTCCCTTTCCAGGAGCACTCAGGAGGAAAAAAAAAATCACTTGTACAAATGTTCATGGACAAGAGAAGGGGCTCAAATCCTGTTGAATTAAATTAGGCAGTTTGCATAAAAAAATGCTCATAAATGCTTTTCCACAGTATTCATCCAGCTCGGTTAACTATCCCACTCTAATCACAGAAACACAGGATTTACCATGCTGGATCACACCTTAGGTCCATCTAATCCAGTATCCTGTCTTTGACAGTGACCAGAGCCAGTTGCTTCAGAGGTAGGTGTTAGAAATCCTCTAGTTGTCCACAGGGGTGGTTTCTTCTGAACTTCTAATCTACGCATGTGGGAGGCAGGTCAACTCCCAGCAGTGGATACAAGATGAGAGAGATCTGATGCTATGATGCAGTATGGTAGTTCCTACAGGGTGTGTAAACTAATGATTTTCCTGAGAGGAAAAATATCTGTATTGTCTAGACTATGATTAGAGAAGATGGTGTGCATTCCTTTGAGAGGGGATCGTATTGCAGTACAGGCTCTGTGCACCTATGTAACTTTAAAAGAGTCTCCAATATGGAAAGTCTGCAGCTGTTCTGAAGGATGTATTATTTAGGTGTTACAAAGGGATTGGTCAGATCTCTTTGTCAGAGAAGAGAATGCAGAAAATAAAACAGATGCAAAATGTATTTTCTATTATACTGTTCACTTATATCGGCTAACTGAATGACACGACTATCCCAGCTTCTAAAGATTTAGGTATGCTTGGATAAAGAGGGTCGGGTGGGTAAGACTCTGGACTGCAACTCGGGAGAGCTAGGCTCTGTTCCTGGCTGTGCCACAGACTCACTGCATGACCTTGGGCAAGTTACAGGGAGCCTGATCTAAAGTTCAGTGGGAAGACCCTATTAACTTCAATAGTGTCTTAGTCTCTCTGTGCCTGAGCTCCCCATCTCTAAAATACTTCCCTACATCCCAGGAATGTTGGAGACTGCACAGATACACTGGAGTAAATTCTGCTGCTGTTGGTGTAAATCCTGAGTAATTCCACTGATTTACACTGAAATGACAGAGCAGAATTTGGCCCATTGCGCACACACCTCACACTTCATAAGGATGGTATTGTCCGTAGTGTGTATCTGTAATACTTTTGTACATATGTATTACAAAGTTGCAAAATGGTTCACAGTAAAATATGTGAACTAAAATCAAGCTATAGTGTTTTATATTCTTGGAAGCCTATGGGCAGAGTTTATAGCATATTGCATGTGTGCATAAAAACCACAGGAAAGTAGGCAGTCAGATAGCTGCTGACTATCATTTACCTACCAGTTGTTGCTAGCTACCATTACCTGTGTGCCTTGGGGGAAGCTGACTCTTATCTCTATAACATCATTCATGGAAGAAAATCACAGAGGGTGTTAGAGCATTCTCTCCTGTGGCTAGGAGCACTGGGAAGGAGGGATTTATAGCTTCAGGATGGAATAACATATTTAAACTGAGTTAGATATTTATTTTGGATTTGATGCATTTGTTTTTTGGTGCATCTAGTTTTTTCTGGTTTCTTGGTCAGTAACAGGGAGGATGGTGTTTATTGTTAGTGGTGAGCAGATGGTAGTGGCAGAGGCTGGCCTTGTCTGTGGCCGCTGGCCAGTTGGCACTGGGAGTTGGGATTATAAAAATAGCATAAGCACACCCAGTTAAGGATCAATGTGTGTGCACGCACACCCCTTTCTAGAGGATAACCAATACATGACATCAGACTTCTCTAAAGAACATCCCAGTTCCACATGAGGATCTTGCCCACAGCAGTTGTCTTTAAGCTGTTTACATTGCTGAATAAGATATATTAGCGCACACTTGTGTGGGCAGTCAGATCCCTGACAGCTCCACACTGAAAAAGGGGAATAAAAAACTGAACAAAATCATAAAATAAATGCTCAAAGTCACTTCTGCAACATTTTACGATAGCTTTGCCCAACACTGATTGATGCTGAAGATCTGTCAAATAGCAATGCTAGTCAAAGCATAGAAGAAGAGGTGGGTCTTCCTGGACCTGGACCTCAGATCAAACACCCCTGATTTTTGGGGAAATGGATCTCAATATCATAGCCACACCCTTCTTTCTGTAAAGGCCTAATCCAAATCCCTGGATCCAAACATCCCTGAACTTTAGGAAATTTGGAGCTGGGCCTGCATTTTGCAGTGTGGGCCCATCTCTAATCATGAGCCATATTGTGATCACATCACTCACCATGCACTCGCTGGCTGTTGCCTTTCTTTCACTGGGTTTGGCTGAAACAGAAATCCAATCCTACTTTTCCACACACAAAACACTAATCATTACTCAACATTTGAATTTCCTGTGGGTTTCTTACAAGGCAGTTGCTAGGCATACTCTGCTACGTTCCTTCTGTAACAAAATTAGGCCATGGGAGAATTTAGAGATGTGGGTTCCTCTTCCCCCTTTTTATTTTTCTTGATAAGCCTTTGTTAATTTTCTAAGAAAAGGGGAAGTCAAGTGCCAAAGTTAAAAGAAATAATTTATACCACCAGTCTTAAAAGTGTAGAAGAATGTGCCAGCTGAGCGGATGATCGTTCTCCCCTTATAACACCTCTCGTGACACATCACTCTGTGTGTTTCTCAAAAGGGCTGTACGCTTCAGAAGTAGTCTATGAACTCTGTGTTGAAATGGTTGCCATGGCAGTGGGCTGAGTGTGAATTGGAAAGCATGATTAGCCAGAGTTGGCCTAAATAGCTTAGAAAAAAAAGGCCAAGGACTCTCTCTCATCATTTCTTATATACAACCTTCAGTATGTGTACTAGAGGGGTGCAAAGGCACTCAGACAAAAAAAGCCCACAGAAGTACGCTGCTACATAACAGCCCCTGGGCAGGGTTTGGCTCACTAATTTTTAGAGTGCAGGTTTCAAACCGGGCTACAAGATTCCTCCTTTTGCTCTCTTACGATGAGTATAAGTCTTAGCCATGCAATGTGCACAGCCAGCCATGCTATTTAACAACATGTAGCCTCTCTGAATCCAGTAGATAGTAGTTCCATGGCTGTTGATTGAGTGAAACTCCACGAAACCTCTGGATTCAGAAGGTATAATGAAAATATGACATAAGATTTCTTACAGTACTATGAAACATGGAAAATGTTAACTAACCCTCACAATTCTCCCAGGGACTAGTTAAGTATGATACCCATATTACAGATGGGGAGACTGAAGCGCAGAGTGGTTAAATGGCTTGCCCAAGTCCACATAGTGAGTCAGTGTCGGAGCTCGGACAGGCACTCATGAGTTCCTGTCTCCTACTGCTGGTAGATCACACTGCCTCTAGATCACTAGATCTTCTAGATCACACTGCCTCTATCTATCACTTATTCTGAGGTAAATAATAATAGTACTTAGCACTTGTATTTTTTTTTTAATTCCTTTGATCTAATATAGTAGTTTTCGTCCCCAGATCTCAAAGCCCTCTATACTAGTGGGTAAGCACTATTGGTGGGTGAACAGAGAAACCGGTTAAGTGCCTTACCCAAGGGGGAGGGATAGCTCAGTGGTTTGAGCATTGGCCTGCTAAACCCAGGGTTGTGAGTTCAATCCTTGAGGGGCCATTTAGGGATCTGGGGCAAAAATTGGGGATGAGTCCTGCTTTGAGCAGGGGGTTGGACTAGATGATCCTCTGAGGTCCCTTCCAACCCTGATATTCTATGATTCATAGATTTCAAGGCCAGATGGGACTATTGCATCATCTAGTCTGACACATATATCGCAGGCTATAGAATTTCACCCGTGTACCCCTGTACTGAGCCCTGTACTTATTTTTAGCTGTATGTTTGAGAATGGTATCTATTCTTGATCTGAAAACATCAAGAGATGAGAATCCACCATTTCCCTTGGTAATTTGTTCGAATAGTTAATCACCCTCACTGTTAAATATGTGTACCTAATTTCTAATTTAAAGTTGTTTGGTTTCTGCTTCCAGCCATTGGTTCTTGTAATGCCTTCCTCTGCTAGATTCAAGAGTCTTTTAGTACCTGGTATTTTCTCCTTGAGAAGGCACTTATACACATGACCTTCATTTTGATAAACTAAACACTGAGCTAATTTAAATCACTGTAAGGCAGTTTCTCCAGCCATCATCCATCCCAGAGCAGAGATTAGAATCCTTCTCATTACCAGGC